TTTATAAAAAAAAAGTTTTAACATAATTTTAAAATAATGTTTTAAATAAAAAATAAAAATATTTTTAAATTTTCTCCTTCCTAAAAAACGGTTACAAAAAATTATTTAATTTTTTTATACTAGTTATTTATTTGGTTTTTTTTTTTTTTTTTTAATTATTTTTTTTTATGAGCTGTTGATTGACCCACAACCAACTTGCTTGGAATGTATTGTTATGTTCCTGTTATCCGATTGGTCAAATTTGTTTACGTGGCCCCGGTTGCAGTGGTCGCACTGTAAAAAGATGAAATTAAACTTAGAACATCATTCCAGTCACTAAGCTACACAATACCTCTAATTTTTCTGCAAAGACGCAAACGTTTGTTAATCTTACATTTTAATCTTTTGGGCTGATACACCCATGTACATCATTGATTCCTCGGCTATAAAGGTTGGAAGTTTTATCAATGTTGTCAAGCAACCGGAATTTCATACGATGAACATCACTGGAAGTCGGTTTGTTCAAAAGAGGCTGTCTGTTAACTTCCAGTATAAAAAAACCGAGGAAGTTAACATTGTAAAACAACGACATGTCTTTATATGTACATACGTAAAAGTATTATTTGTGTGTATGATATTGTTATCGTAATAACGTTATCTCAGGCTGAGGCTATTTTATTAGCGCTTCTAAGGTGAATTCGTCTAATCTGGCTCTTAAAAATAAACTTAATAGTCTCGCCGCAATAAAACTGCATCTCGTGCATGCTAAGCTAAAAGAACAAGTTAGTCTTGCAAATAAGGGTTTTTTTATTTCCCGCCCCCAATAGGAAACGTAGACTACAAGTCTTTAAAAGTAAAGCAAGTTCGCAATCTTGCAGGCCTGAGACTGATTTATAAAAACAAGATTCCCTCTCTAATGAGTTCGTATTCCCACACAGAAAAGAGGCATCACTTGTCAAGCCAAGGCACCTATATTTCCGTGTCTTGCTCTGCTAAGTTCATTATTTAAGTTATCTCTTGGGTTATTACTACCCGAACTAAGTCCAGCTGAAAACGGGCAATGTGCATTCTGCAGACCTTCGGGCCGAGCTCCATAGTCCTCTGCATCATTTCCATGAATAACAGGTCGCCTTTCGTCGTCGTCTTCTTCAGCTGGCCTTCTCCTAATACACCGCCAGATGCGCTTGCGGTAGTAAAGCGCTGGAACAACAACAATAATACCTGATAAAGCACCTAATGGTATGATGTAGTCCACCCTGTTTACACCACCACCTGAAAATAAGGAAAAATTGTAGTCTTAAGATCAGCTCCAAAGGCTTTTTTCTTCAACCGTCGTTTCCTTGCTGCTCCACGTAGGTAATTTTACATTCTCAGGGGAATTACTTTAAATTTCTTTTGATGGATGACACAAGGATACAGTTGTATACACGTTTATGTGACGAACTTTGAAACCACAGTTTCCTTGAGTAACAACGACACGTCAAATGGGAGAACAAACAACCTAAGTTAGTCCTAGGCCAAGGGTCGTACTTTTAATGAGACGAACCAAACTCTCATTTGAGTCAACCAAAATTAAGTTAAGATCGTCTGTTGAGTCAGACGTCGAACTTAAGAAGGGTCGAACCAATCAACTGAATCAGTAATAAATCAGTTAAAAATTAAAAATTTTTCCGGACGAGGCTAAATATGCCTTATCATACAAGTTATTGACGCAGAAGTTTAGTTCGTCGCATACGATGATCGACGTTTGCGCTGGGGACTCTAAACTCACTAAGTTTGGTTCGTCTCATGAAAACTTTGGCGATTGGCCTAGGCCTTCAACGTCTACTGCATGATGTGATTGCTATTGTACTGAGTATCGCGTGGCTTACGTAGGTTTCAGTGTAGATTTAAAGTACCTGTTTGGGATGACGGGTCGTCTGGATCGTTTGGACAACCATCAGGACATGAACAAATACTAGTCACTAAAAATCTCTACAAATAAATAAAGACAAAAATAGACTTGAGCGCTAACAGGACGCTTATGGCACCGTGGACGCTGATCTGTGTTTGAGTATCGAAGATTAATCTAATCAGAACGTTTGGTATTTCCAATTTCAATTGCAATCCTCGAGAATGAGTTTCAATGACATGTCTTCAATACATCCTTGCCTTACCGGCCCGAACCTGTCGATTGTTTACTTGTTTGTTCATTTAACGTTTCCAATCTTCAAAACTGAAAGTGAACCCAGTAGGAAACTTCGTAGACTACAAGTCTTTAAAAGTAAAGCAAGTTCGCAACCTTGCAGGCCTGAGACTGATTTTATAGAGACAAAATTCTCTCTCTATTGAATTCGTAATGAGGTATAATCAGCTTTGATAATTGCACAAAGCAAGCCGCTTAATTCGAGGCATTTAAAAAGGCTAAGAATAACGCTACGTAACGCTGACTACAATAAGAACGGGTCTGTTGCCCATGTTAAATTTTAGTTGTGTCTTGTGCGTGAGATAGTCCGGTGTAGTCGTTTCTTTAATACACTCCATTCATCCCTCCACACAAGTAAAATCCAAAACTGATTTACTTTCCTGAGTCAGTTTTGTAAAGAGAGGCTTCCATTAAAGTTCATTTCACAGGACGAAAGGTGAACAGAGGGCAAAAAATTCAACCAAAAAGGGGTAGGTGTGGACGGGGAAACAAAGTGGCCGTTCAGTGGCCGTTCAGTGGCCGTTCAGTCATGTTCAAAAACACTTTAAGAAGTCCTTTATGCAATCGCTAGAAAACGGCCATAGTCAGTGTAGAAAAGTAGTGTGTAGTTTTTACTTACATTTCATTTAATAGCTATGTACCAGTTTCACTTACCCAAATGTCTTTAGTATCACTGATATACTCGAAAAGTGCTTCCTCGGGTGTTTTCTTTGATGGATCGCACTTGAGGTCGACTATAACTTGTCGTTTCGCAAAAGACCTTTAAATACACAGACATATTAGGTAACATAAAAATTAATGTCCTGTTTCGCGAACAGGCGATGAGGCTAATCTCGTGTTCTGATTGAATGTTCGAGTGCCCAAGATCGGCAAATCTTGCCCATTCCTATAACTGCTCCCTTTGGCCATGCAGGAAAAGCGTATTTCCTATCGTCCAGTTTATTGAGCTTGTTCGGTAAGATTGTAGGATGGTCTCGTTCGTTTTCATTCCTCAGCCGTTTATCCTTGACTTTTTCTTGGACCAAAAAGGCGAACATGACGCGAGAAGCCCTCGCGCGAAATGCCCCTTGGCTTCGCTTGGTTCATAAAGCGCCTTTCATGCAGGCTAAAAAATACGCCAAAAAGGAACTTGGCCAATATCCAGCCATCTTGACCTCACACTTTGTAAATAACGCATATATCATATTTATCACCATGTATAAGACGTAGTTACACTCAACTTGTGCGAGTTGATCTAAAATGATTATTGAGACAAACGGCTTCGCATTTAATGGAGTGTCAAAAGGAATACTTGAAACAAAGTTTGTGGCCGAGGATTACTGAGCCTAACAAATCAGAAGTAGGCCTGGGTTTAATCTAATAAAAAGAAAGAAGCACAACAACTTACTCTTTATTGGTATAGACAAGCTGTGGTGTGTTCGTCTCTTTATTGAAACCATAATGAAATGAGCTTTGCGTACCAATCAGTTGATACCGTGCTTTGTTTACAGTACCCATGCAAACCTGANATGATTATTGAGACAAACGGCTTCGCATTTAATGGAGTGTCAAAAGGAATACTTGAAACAAAGTTTGTGGCCGAGGATTACTGAGCCTAACAAATCAGAAGTAGGCCTGGGTTTAATCTAATAAAAAGAAAGAAGCACAACAACTTACTCTTTATTGGTATAGACAAGCTGTGGTGTGTTCGTCTCTTTATTGAAACCATAATGAAATGAGCTTTGCGTACCAATCAGTTGATACCGTGCTTTGTTTACAGTACCCATGCAAACCTGATTAGGAAAAAAGAAAACTATCTTTTAGATTTGCCTGTATTGGTATGATGTATTAGTATGGTGAACGTTCCTCCGTACATTGAACCTTTCTCAAAAATTTAGTTTTATCACGAGTCAATTAAGTCAATTTATCACTGTCAAAGAAACGAAAAGCTAGAATTTTAAGCGCTAACCCTTTTTTAAAGAGTAAAATGGACCATGCTCTATACTCTTATCGACCATTACAAATAACGTCAACATGGTCAAAATTTAAGTGGAACCACGAGACCTGGGCAATGTTTTCAAAACAAAGTTTTCTGTTACTATAGTAAGTTAAACAACTTACAGCCACATCTCCGAAACAGTCACTTGTTTGTTTCGTCCCTTGAGAGAATGGTCTACAGGGATTATAAGTATAGTTCCAATCACCTGAAACCACCCAGAACCTGTTGGACAAATGCAAGTGATGCATGTAGGTGTAGCGAAATACCGTAGATCAAAATGGTAGGGGCGCAACTAACTTAAATGCGAAGAGAACATCTTCCACTCATTTTTCACATTTCCGTTTCCTAGTATAATTTTTACTTTAAGCTGCAAAATATAAAGTTTTATTTATGCACATTCTTGACCTTGGTGTTTAATGTTATAGTACCTCTAATCTCGAGGTCCCGTGAATTATTTAGTGAAGCATTGAAACTTTCGACTTTTTATACGTCTTAAAGACTAAGTGCTGTCATGTGAATTATGTGTAATTTTCTAAAACAGCACAATGTGCTCTTTCTATTTTTATTTTGGTCCACTTCCCTGTTTTCAATCCGTAATCGTAGACACTTCCTGACAGTTTGAATGTTCTAGTATCAGTGTTAAATAAACAGTAATATCATGCTAATCTTTGTGGATTGCAGTTGGCCCAACTTTGCACATTGGATCTTCTATTCTCATCAGTATACAATGCCTGAATTAATACCTCGGCTTTCCGTCCTTTCTTTCGAGAGCTGCTAGGTTATAGATTTTTCCGTCGAGGTCGTAAGCAACACAGTCTTTGTCAGCTGGCGGGATAACGTGTGCGTTTGGTCTTGTCCTGTTACCAGCATTGGCTCCTTTCAACTTACGAAGCGAGGTCAATGCCAAAAGACAGCTCATCAATCTTAAAACAACCCTCATCGTGTGCGCAACTGCTACAACAAGATTTAGAACTATTAATTACCTGGATGTCTTGCAACTATAACAGAAATGGTTATACTATACATGATAATAACCACATAAACATCCACATGATGACACTCTTTGTCATATCTTGCTATGCAATATTACATAAAATATGCTGCCATCTTAAAGTATTCTTATTGTTCGAAGCTTTTACTATCGTGTGTCAAAAAATTAAGATGATAGTGTTGGCTTCAGATATCGCTTCTTATTGAGGTTCTCTAAATTAGTAGTTAATTAGTAGTTAATTGATACTTAATTTAACATTTTAAACTGTCAAGATCATTTCCAGAAGGTGTCTAAGATGCATTTCCTGTATTTAATCTCGTAGAATAACAAGTAAAAAATATAAATCATCCTGGCTTGTAAATCATAAATAACAATAATGAATAGCAAAGTTCCTAGTATCGCTCTCTTTGAAGTACACTGGCCGAGATGGAATGTGACTCTGGAGCAAAACCATTTAAATAATAACCTGCTGCTTCCTGAACCATATAAGCCAGTAACATCTAAACCTATTCTTTTTGCCTTTTTTGAAGTCCAAAAAGAATAGGTTTAGATCTTACTGGCTTATGGATCAGGAAGCAGCAGGTTATGTATTAAATTTACAAGGATGATTTATATTTTTTTACTTCTTATTCTTGTTATTGATGATTTACNGTTAATTGATACTTAATTTAACATTTTAAACTGTCAAGATCATTTCCAGAAGGTGTCTAAGATGCATTTCCTGTATTTAATCTCGTAGAATAACAAGTAAAAAATATAAATCATCCTGGCTTGTAAATCATAAATAACAATAATGAATAGCAAAGTTCCTAGTATCGCTCTCTTTGAAGTACACTGGCCGAGATGGAATGTGACTCTGGAGCAAAACCATTTAAATAATAACCTGCTGCTTCCTGAACCATATAAGCCAGTAACATCTAAACCTATTCTTTTTGCCTTTTTTGAAGTCCAAAAAGAATAGGTTTAGATCTTACTGGCTTATGGATCAGGAAGCAGCAGGTTATGTATTAAATTTACAAGGATGATTTATATTTTTTTACTTCTTATTCTTGTTATTGATGATTTACTGTATCAAAGGTTTTATAATTAATATTAAAAATACCCTGGCTAAATAAACGTCTCATAGCTTTTCTCCTTTCTTTTTCGCTTTTTCCAGCATTTACAATATCATATATTAGCTTATATTAAAGATACGTTCACCAACGTTGAACCTTCAAATAATCCCGCTTCCCGGAATTTATGATGTCGCACACTCCGATTCCTTTGTTATGTGACTCATAATTAGCACTTTGTCAGATTCTGGGTCATGTTTGTCTGACAGTATTACCTCTCCAATGGAATAATATTTATTTTAAAAAATGACTGCGTAAGAAACACGATAGTTTTGTCAGTCAATGAGGAACGTTGAGCCGACTAGGTCTCGTAGAACACAAACTTTAATCTCTTCAGAAGTAGGTTACACTCATAGAGCTAATGACATACTAACAGACAGAAAAAACTAGTCTTTAAGAGGGGATTTCTAGAATGTTCCAAACAAATACATAATCAGTCTATTTATAGAGACTTACATAACGTTTGGGATAATAATAGAGATTAGCAAACTGACATTCTAGAATGTTCCTATCCAAAAAGCAAATGTAGATGAATTCCAGAAAGTTCTAGATATCATAACAACGATTATATTGCTTTTTTAAACTATCTACATTGTAGAGGCACCCAGACCCAAAAAAATTTTAAGTAAATAACATTTGTTCTGTAATAACCACCACAAGAATGAGTCAGATTCACCGTTCTTTGATTTCATGATCTCGAGGCGTTTACAAGTCGTCACAGAGCAAGAGGGGAGATAAACTTTCAGTAGGAGCCGGGGAAAACCCCTTAAACTAATTTATGCACCCTTGAGCAATAAATTGTTCCTCCGGTACAGAAACGTCTGTGATGGATTGAAGTTAAACTACTTACTTCAAAAACCACTATATCTATAAATATTTTACTGCAAAACCAACAATTTAAATGGTTTCTAAGTACTCTAGCTTGCTGGGCAAATATCGAGTGGCTTGACATTTGCAGACTCTTGCAATTTGTATTTTGTCAACAATGTAGCACTACTTCCGCTTTCGCTTAAAAACTGCAAGAGTTTTGAGCCGAGAAGATGATACCATCAAAATAATGAGATTACGAGGCGTTACAAGTCGTCACAGAGCGATACAGAGGGGAGACAAATGTTGAGTAGGAGCTGGGGAAAACCCCTTACAATAGACTAATTTTATGCACCCCTTGAACATAAATTGTTCGTCTTTTACAGAAAGCGTCTGTGATGGATTAAAGTTAAACGACTTACTCCAAAAAACGAATATAAATACGGTACTATAAAACCAACAATTTAAATGGTTTCTAAGAATTCTTGCTAGGCAAATATTGAGTGGCTCGAGATTTGCAGACTCTTGCAATGTGTATTTTAATCAACAAATGTAGCGCTACTTCCGCTTTCTGCAAGAGTTCTGAGCCGAAATGATGATGCCATCAAAATAATTAGATTCACCGGTGTGAGTTGAAGGCTTTTATCATAAAAAAAAAAAATAGAGACATGACTTGTTCGCGTCTTTCCATGTTTGCTCGGTAAAAGCCAGGGAAGCTTCGGCTGCTCGAATGCAGGATCGATTGTGATAATTTAACGGTATAAATTGAATTAAGGTAAGTTTAAGTGATGTTAGTTTTCCCTACCTCAAATAGTTTGACAACTGGTCGGCATTAAGCTTTGTTCCTTTCTCGAAAAGGATCTTTCGTTTTTGTGCGCGTCGCCGTCGAAGCTGTTTTGTCGGGTTTTGTCTCTTTTTGTTATAATCGACTTCCTTGGTCAGCGGTTCAAAAGCGGGCAAAACCAATGTTTCTGATTGGCCACTCCTTAATCGAAAATGAAAGAGTAGTCGTCCCAACAGTATGAATATCCAGGTTGACCAGTTTATCATAGAGAACTTCAATACATTATGTCAAAAAAAGAGATCTCTGTAACAGCAGCTTTCTATGACAAATGCTGGCAAGCATGTATGTCGTCTGCCACAAGAGAAGATGAATAATTGGATAGGCACAATTTCAACGATGTAGTGCTATGTTAGTGTAAATACTCCATCAATTTGCTTTGTTGGACGTTGAACATAAAGTGCAATACAATCGACTTAAGTTCGCGTAATATCTAATTAAAGACTTTCCCGGAAAAGTGTGTTTTCTGCTAGCTTATTCAACCGGGGAACACCACAAAAACAAAGACCAATTAAAAACTTCAAACCAAATACCCTCTCCTCCCTAAAACATCTGTGCAAAATAATTTCTAAGAAGATATGAATGGGTGCCTTGTTTTCAATTCAGATGCTTCCGTGGCCCTAACTGTTCACTGGGGCTAGACTCGTATTATGTGGGTGGAAGTACAAGACACTCGGATAGCGTGACAGCGGAAAGTAAAAGATAGAAAGCAAAAGCCTTACAAAAATTCAGGGTTATATACAGGGTGTGGAGAATAAGGAGAAAAGTTAAGTGGGTGGCACTGACTACGAGAGACCGGGTCACCTGCAACGTATCCAAATCGTATTAATTTGGATAATCAAAACGATAACAACTTTAAATGTATTGTTTTGCAAGACGAAACTAGCACTAAATACACAACTTGCGAAGCAGAAAACTAGCGAGCGGACTACATATGGCAAACTTATTCAAATAAGGTCAATGTCTTTTGAACTATTTACAAGCTTTGAAATAAGCGCCCCTCTTCTCCTTTTCAATAAAATTTTTTGTATTATGCGTTAATGTTGACAGCGATGCCTAAGGATAGCGTTACAGTGTAGTTCTTAAACAGGAAGTTGTTTACTGTTGATGTAGTTTTGTACAATAAACACTTAAATTTGTTCTTCTTCTCAAGTCATATTCTTTATTTATTTAG